ACTGGCAAACCTGGAGATTAAGTGAACTTCAGGGCTAGTTTGCTTCAGCATTCAATGATATCATCACGGCTCTGTCTAAATCACTTGACATTTTCCCTTAGCCCTGTGCCATGCCAGCTTTTTCTAAGGTCCAATCAGGGCTGGCAGCAATTTCTGGGGCAGCAGGCCTCGCATCCAGATACAGGGAGAAGGAAGGGTCCTTTTAAGAAGCTCGCTCTGGGAGAACAAGCTGCCTTCTTCAGTTTCAGCAAACCATGACTACCCACTTATTGGTCTGATTTTCTATGGGTCAGCAATGAGAATATGGTGGTTAGCTTATGCGTGGGTCGCACACCCTAACCCGAAAGGGGCTCCTTCCAGCTCTCATAGATTGCAGGGGAGAGACTGGGCTGCTTTGAAGGAAGGGGGCATGAGAAGGGAGAATGCAGCTGAGATGTCAGACACAGTGCCCACGATGAACACAGTTTGAAACAATCAGAACTGGATGCTGCCCACAAAGTTGACAAGAGGGGAAGGAAGGAAGTTTAGGAGAAACAAGGCTGGGTGAGTCTCCCAGAACCTACCACTGGCGGCTTGAAGTCATTCCACAGCTGGAGAGGAAGCCGGTGAATATGCCGTCTGCCTGGACACCCACCCGGGTGCCACGTGCTTGTTACACCACACACATCTGCTGCCTTTAACGGATGAGGAGGGTCACCACCACAAGGCTGGTAGGGAGTCATTTTAGGCAGCAGTCAGCAAACTCAGTAGTCAACAGAGCCAAATATCAACAGTACAACGGTTGAAATTTCTTTTGAGAGCCAAATTTTTTAAACTTAAACTATATAGGTAGGTACATTGTTATTAACTTAATTAGGGTACTCCTAAGGCTTAGGAAGAGCCACACTCAAGGAGCCAGAGAGCCTCATGGGGCTTGCGAGCCCCAGTTTGCCGACCACAGTTTTAGGGAAATTCATCATCTATCCTCACTCTTCCACCCACAGTCTAAATTATAAGTTTCTTGAAGTGCAGAAATATACTTGTGGGGTGTGTGTGTGTGTGTGTGTGTGTGTGTGTGTGTGTGTGTGTTGGGGTGGTGGGGGGGAGGGGGGAGACAGAAACAGAGGAAGAGGGAGAGGGAGAGATAAATTGATTTGTAGATGGTAAAGTGTCCTAAAACTTTTGTGTGATTATGATAATCTTCTGCAGACTGTTGCAGTGTTAAATAGTTCATTGCTTCTTAATCAATGTCTGTAGATGGACAGACTTATTCATTAAGAGAGACACCACCCTGGCCAGTTTGGCTCAGTAGTTAAAGCATTGGCCCCACAGACCAAAGGGTCATGGTTCAATTTCCAGGCAAGGGAACTTGCCTGGATTGCAGGATCAATCCCTGGACCCAGTTGGTGCACGAGCAGAAGGCAACCAATCAATGTGTCTCTCTCATGTCAGTGTTTCTCTTTCTCTCTTCTCTCCTTCCCTTTCTCTTTCCTCCCTTCCACTTTATCTAAAAATAAGTGGAAAAAATAACCTCAGCTGAGGATTAAAAGAAAGGTAGACACGTGCGCACACACACACACACACACAGCTGAGGAACCCTCTCTCCTGTGGGAGTCTGAGTATAGGCATTGGGAAAGGCCACCATTTGACCTATTTCATGGGCATTAATGTGCGTGGCCAGGTTCTAATTGGATTCCATCCTATCATGAAGGTGATCTCACAATGCTTCCTCTGGTGCTGTCGGTCTAGCAATTCCCCCAATAACATTTTGGCTTTCAAACCCAGACCCAGAGGAATCTGGGATGTGGAAGTATTAACATTTAGATTCATTTCTCATGGCAGTTGTGTTATTGGATTTCTCTCTCTCGCCAACCCAGTTGAAACTGGTATAACTATCATAGTCTCCAGTGGACCTTTTAAATAGCATTGGTAGAATAATGTCTACTAAAAGGAATCGTATCAATTCAAAGTCTACCCTCAGCATTCGGTACACAATCCTTGCCCTTGGGCAACCCTGAAATACATTTGTAAAGGTGTCAGTATTTGTATTCCAGGGACCTTTTAAAGATCAGTTACTCCCTCCAGGTATCTAAGTGAAACGATTGCTTGGCCAGGTCAGAAATGTAATTTTCATGACATGTACGACAAATTGTCCTCACTTCTGCTTGAAATCTTTCTCTTTGAAATCAAATATGTATTTAATTGTTCAAATAAAACTCTTTTAAAGAGAAAGTTTGGAGAAAGTTGGGAAGTTATAGTTTTGTTATTAGATGAATTATTCCCTAATATATAGTTGAAACTCATGTAATGGGAATGAATTTTGTTCACATTTCTCAGTATGAGAAATGCCACATCAGTTCATTTCTCAATAGCAAATTGAATTAAACTGTGAGTCCCAACTTTTCAGCTGCTTAGTTTACAAGTACCTTCTCCATCCCTACTTTTACTGAAGGACCAGGGTATCCTATATGTCCCTGGGGTGTGGCGAAAGGGCATCGATGAAATTCAGTTCTCCATGGTCCCTTAAGGAACCCACTGTCCAAACCCGAAGGCCAATTTGGGAAATGTGTCATTCCTTCATCTTTCTTTTTTTTAAAAAAAGGTATTTTTATTGATTTCAGAGAGGAAGAGGGAGAGAGAGACAGAAATAATCACTGATGAGTGAGAATCGTCGATCGGCTGCCTCCTGCACGTCCCACACTGAGGATCGAGCCCACAACCTGGGCATATGCCCTGACTGGGAATCAAACCGTGACCTCTTGATTCATAGGTCAGTGCTCAACCACTGAGCCATGCCACCCAGGCATCCCTTCATCTTTCAACACTAGGTATTGAGTGTGGATCTGCTGACGGTTTATGACAACTCCTTAGTAATGATGGAAAAGAGTCCCTAAAATGGTCACAAAGCCTCAAGCACATTTGGTGTTGCCTATATAATTTATTTTTATTTTTTAATTTTTTTTATTGATTAAGTTATTAGATATGTGTCCTTTTCCCCATGTTACCCCTTATCCCCCAACTCATGCCCTCACCCCCCTGTTGTCCATGTCCATTGGTTAGGCCTATATGCTTGCATACAAGTCCTTTGGTTGATCTCTCCCCCTTACCGCCACCCTCCCCTACCTTTTTAAGATATGTTAACTGTGGACACAGAGCTTGAGCATGCAGTGACATCCAGATGTTAGTCCACAGTGACAGAGCTCTAAGAGCAAGATTGTGAGAAGATAGTCAGTGTTCTTTCTTTCTTTTTAAAATCCTCATCCAAGGTAAATACACCACAATTTTCCAATTCTCCTGTTGATTACACTTCTCTAAAAATTCTTATGCAAATCTTATTACACAAGGGTGAAAATTTCTCTAGGGTATTTGCTTAGGAGCAGAATTATAGAATTGCTTGGGAATTAGAGGATGTGAGCATCTTCCATTTACTAGGCAATGACAATGTTTGTTTCCAAGTAGTTGTACCAATTTGCCTGACTAACTAGGGTTATAAGTTCCTATTGTTCTGCATCCTTACCAACACTTATTGTTGACAACTTTCCTAATTTTTGCCAACCTAGTGATTACAGAATTGGTTCATTGAATTTTAAATTTCAGTCATTTTATTACTTGTCTTATGGCATCGCTTTAGTTACTCATTAAAAATCTACTCTTGATTCCATGTTCTTTTTTTATTTCTTAATGGTTGGTGTTTTGTTTTTAATTGTCTGAGTTATATTACTTTCAGATTTTGTGTTATCTGAAGTTGTCTGGGTTTAGCCATCCTACTATGTCTATTAACTCTCACTAATGCTGGAGAGTTTCCTTGAGTAGTTTATAGTTTTTGCTGGGTTGTTATTTCAATGGTACTTGGCCTGATAGAATTGTGGGCAGTTAAGGGTGCTATGTTTTTCTCTCCATAATGTGTTCCCATTGGCTTCTGATGAGCATGATAAGAATACGCACTAACAGCATGGGACCATGTTTACATCAGTTACTTGAGCTGGGAGTTTCAAAACCACTTGAGTAGAAAAAGAAAGCTGTTCATTGAGCACATACTATTTACCTAGAACTGACCCATGTCCATTCTGAAAGGAAGTTCTAGAAAACTTTTGATCCCAATAAAAAAATATTAGTGGGTCTTGAAATCTGTTCCTTTAAAAATTATATTATAGCCGAAACCGGTTTGGCTCAGTGGATAGAGCATCGGCCTGCGGACTGAAAGGTCCCAGGTTTGATTCCGGTCAAGGGCATGTACCTGGCTTGCGGGCACATCCCCAGTGGGGGGTGTGCAGGAGGCAGCTGGTCGATGTTTCTCTCTCATCGATGTTTCCAACTCTCTATCTCCCTCCCTTCCTCTCTGTAAAAAATCAATAAAATATATATTTTTAAAAAATTATAAAGCTAAGTTATATAAAACTTCAAGATAATTTGTACTGACTTTTTAATTTTGTTTTCCCTTTTTATGACATGTACTAGTATTTCTAAATATTGTAGATGTGAAATATATAGTTGAAATGCTTGCTACTTTACTAATTTTATTTATTTACTAGAGGCCCAGTGCATGAATTTGCCCAGCTGTGAGCCGGCTTCTGGCTGAACGGTGCTTCCCCTGTGGGAGCACACTGATCAACAGGGGGCAGCTCCTGTGTTGAGCGTCTGCCCCCTGGTGGTCACTGTGCATCATAGTGACCGATCGTTCTGCCATACAGTCAATTTGCATATTAGGGTTTTATTATATAAGATATTTATCAAAGCATAATGGTTAAATAAATTATTTTCATTTTCACTGACTGAAGAAATGCTGGACTATTTTAAAAAAATTATAACCCAGTAGTTCATCTAGTGGAGGTATCTGAAATGTAGATAGCATATTAATTCAACTGAATAGAATTAAAGCTCAAAACAATAAACATTTCCCGAGAGTAACTGTTTTTCCAAACCCAAATATATAATGTTCACTTTGTTTACTAAAGTAGGCCTTTTTCTGTTCCAGTTAATTTATTTTTGCCACATTTCCATTCTTTTTTTGCCTAGTTCTTGATGAAAATTACTGCTATTATAGGCCATGGAGATGTTTTTCATCTCTTCTCTTTAAAAGCAAAATTTCACCTGTGTGATAGAATATTTATGAGGCATTTTTTCTTATTTGTGTTAATTTAGGCATTAACAAAGTTCACAATACTTCCATTGGGCATTATTATAGTACATTACACTAGGGATTATGTGTAAGGAATATTTTTTCAAGAAAATTAAGTATGGTTCTGCAATTTCCATTTTTTTTTTACCATAAAAACTCCCTTTCAATAATAATGTCTAATTATATTTCCCTGCCTCCCCACCTATTCTTTTTAAAAAGAAGAGAAAAAAATTAACCCTTACTTATATAGAGGCCAATGATCTGAAGTATAGTAACAATGCAACTTTAAAAAAAAAAAAGTAAAACAAAAGCAGTCAATAACCAAGAAATGCATTCTTCTTAGGACTCTTTCAAAAATAAAACACGTGATTTTAAAGAAAATTAGCCACTTGTTTTTATTACCCACAACAAATTGAGTACAAGAAATTGGGACTAGATTTAGACACACTCACACTTACATGAGACAGCTGGCAAGTGGAAAATCAAGGAAAGATGCAGTCAGAGAAGACACAAGAATAGTAATCTTGAATCATCTGGAGAAGAGGCAAATGGTGGTCCATATGGTGGTTATCCCTGGGTCTTGAGAGTAACTCCTTTATACAGTTCTCAGTTTAGATATAACTTCTACTAGAAGACCCTGAACTCGTCTCCCTTTTGCCCCCAACACTATACCTTGAAGTTCCCTTAGAATGGTACTTACCAGACTGTATCATTGTTGCTACTATTAAATTACTGCCAGGTTCATAAATTATTTTCAAGTGGTTCTCCAGGTCTCTATCAGTGTTTATTACAATAAATATGTTGAAAAAAAATAAAAGGGTCATCCCCAGTGTTCACCATATTGACTCTGAATCTCCAAGGAAAGATTCAATTGAACTAAGAACATTTTAGAACTCAAAGTTAACTTGTAGAAAACTTGACTAGTCTAGTCACATATATGGATGAGAAAACTGAAGTCTAGGGAAGGGAAGTGACTCACCCCAAATAGGTGGTTAATGATATTCCTAAGTGAAAACAGGTACCTCCTGAATCTTATTCTATGCTATTCCACAACCCTATGTAGGTGCTGAAGATGACAGTGAATTGAGTCCTTACTGTAAACGAGGAATTGTGCTAAATGGTTGACATTTGTTATGTCATTTAGTCCTCAGAACAGCCTGACAGAGTTGATGCAACTGTTATTGACATTGCGCAGACACCAACATGAGGCTTATAGCATTTGAAAAACTTAAGTGATGTAAGCAAGGTTTCCATCTTGAACTCCAGAATTCTAACTCTTCAGACACCTCCTGCTCCCCACCCCAAACTCAAGACTCCTCTCTTATATTTGGTTTCCTATTGATAAAAGTAGAAGTGTGTGAGAGCCCACTGAGATAGCTGTTTAAATATTTACTGCTTCCTAAATCGACATGCTAAAATTTCTGATAAATGATGTTTTAATTCAAAGTTAGAAGAGCCCTAGTCTGTTTGCTCAGTGGTTAGAGCGACGACCCACAGAACGAAGTATCATGGGTTTGATTCTAGTCAAGAGCACACACCACAGTTACAGGTTCGATTCCCAGCCCTAGTCAGGGCATATGCAGGGCACCAAACAGTGTGTCTCTCTCATATTGATGTTTTTCTCTCTCTCTGTCTCTCCTCTCCATTCCACTCTCCACTAGGGATTGAGCCAGACCCACAACCCAAACCTAGAATTGAACCAGGACCTAGTGGTTCATAGGTTGAAACTCAACCACTGAGCCACACCTGCTGGGTAGGATCTCTTCTCTTTAAGTGTGCTGGATTCCCATCCACTGGAGAAGTGCACACTAATAAGGCATTTGTGAAATGTCAGCAGTCACAGACCATCTCTTTTGTCTCATCCTGCAATTAGTGAATTTGCTGACAGCCTTCATTGTTCTGTTTTGAGTAGAACTGAATGTTGTAGAAATCATAGCAGCATTTATAGCTATAGACCAGGAATTAGGGTGATTGATTACTATATTGGATTTGGGAGCTTCTGTGTGAATGTATGCATTGTTTCTTTCCTACAGCATAAAAGATTTTTAAAATTCCATATCTATTAATTACATAGGGAAAATGACAAAAAGGAATGTGCTTATAGATAATAGAGTAATTTTTCCCCCAATTAGAACAATTTCAACTAAAATAGATTGAAACTCTCTTATGAGCCAATTACTAGGAAAATGTCAAGATGAGAGCTTGTCCTTGACAGTGAGATTAGTCTAGTGGGAAAGATGAATGTTTACCCCAATATTATACCCCCAGTATAACATAGATTAAAATGGGTAGTAGAGACAGGGGAATAAGTACCTCTAAATTAGAGGTTGCAAAATGGAAAGACACCTTTTCAGGAAAATACAAGTGTTTTGAGACATGAACAATCAATGCATGGGTGGTCTTTGGTAGGCGTATTAGTTTTCTAATGCTGTATAGCAAATTACCACAAACTTAGTGGCTTAAAACAACCCCTGCTGACTATCTCTGTTGCTGTAGGTTAGAATTTTGGGCATGGCTTCTCTGGGCTCTCTGCTCAGGTTCTCACAAGGCAAAATTCAAGTTCATCCATTCCGCATCCTCATCTGGGGCCCAGATCCTCTTCCAAACTCTGGTTGCTGGCAGACTTGGCTTGTGATTCTAAGACTGAGATTCTCACTTTCTTGCTGTCAGGCCATGGGCCTCAGCGCTCCGAGGCCCCCACAGTTCTCTGCCCTGTGGCTCCCTCTATTGGCAGGTCACAGCATCGCTGTCTGATTCTTGAGGGCCGCAGAGTGGAGACACTAGGAGTCCCTGACCCTTCCTTGCACTTGACTGATTTAGGCCCACCCAGGATAGTCTCCCTTTTGGTGAACTCACAATCAACTCTTTTGGGAGCCTAATTACATCTGTAAAATCCCTTCATTTTTATTATCCTATATAATAAAAGGCTAATATGCAAAGTGTCCCCTCCGGAGTTTGACTGTGAGGCTGAGAGTTCGATCACTCGCTATGACATGTGCTGACCACAAGGGGGTGGCGCAGAACATGGCGGGTGACCAGCTGCGGTGGCAGGGTGCTGAGGGAGCGAGGGAAGGAGGAGACTGGGAGGCGGGGAACCTGATCGGCCCTGACCTCCAGCCATGCCTAGGGATCCTACCATGCACAAATTTCATGCACCAAGCCTCTAATATAACATAATCAGAGGAGTGATGTCTCATTACCTCTGTGGTTAGAAGAAAGTTACAGACCCTGCTGCCCACACACTGGGGGAGAAGATTATACAAATCTATAAATCAGTGTGGGTCATCTCAGAATTCTATTTATCAGGGTAGGTAGACTTAGGCTGTAGCAGGATGGAATAATAAGAGCTTTTGTTCAAAATTCTAAGGGGCACGGATCCTATCCTGTAGGTAATACTGAGTTACTGTTAGGTTTTAAACCATGGAGACATGACATTTAATAGAATAAAAGATGATTCCTTTGGCTGTGTGACAAAT